CAGAAATATGTCCCCATATGACGTCAACACTGTTTGCTGCGATGAAAACGTTTGGAAGGCAGCGTATAATGGCCTGAATTGCTTTACGGAAGACCTCTGAGGATTTCTTGTCGATGTGGATGCAGTAGACATTGTTTGGCATGTAAATTGCTCGTAGAATTCGATCGAGCAGACGTGAACCTTTATGAACAGTGAAACCAAAAGCGATCGGAAGCTCCTTTTCTTCTTTTGACACGTCAGCTTGAACAAAACGAGTTTCTAAAACGCTCGGGCAGTCTTGATCAGGCCTGTAGATACTCAGAATTTCTGAGTCCTTCGATGAGATTTGATTCGTTTCATTGATTTTTTCCTCTCCAGATATAAGGTTCTTGCATCTTCTCCACTTAGATTCCTAAAAGAAAAATGGCCGCCGCTAAGGTTACTGATATCATGATTTAAAATGTTTACCTATGACATCTTAGTCATCTTACAATACCGATACAAGAGTGTAAACGTTTTAGGCTCTTTTCAAACGCTCTTTTCAGTTTTCTTTTTGAAATGCCTTAGAGTCAAGAAATACGGATGTTACGATTGATTTCGGCCGCGGGAAAATAGGAACGAGAGCCATCTTCCTTGCGCTCTTTTACTCGTCTTTGACTGTTGATCGTCCCTCGTTCTTTGCTCCGAAACCGCACGGGAACGCTTGCTACTGTGGGGGTATGTTCGAGCAACTCGCTCGCTACACGATGAAGTACCAGGAATCTGATTGACATCTTGCCTTTATTCTTCTTTGACTTCTGCTAACAATCTTAATCTTCCTACTCTTCTAACTCTTTTCTACTTTTCTACTCTTCTCTACTTACTAGTTCAAGTATAGCAGCGGTTTTTATAGCCAAAGCTGGACATGATTGGGTTAGCTGACTGGGAGACCTTCAGTATTGAATATCTTATCGCTAAAATTGCAACAGGTTTGCTATCGTTAGGGAATAGATTCAGTCTACGCACAGCCGCAACTGACAAGTAACAAAGAACCTAGGACAGCAGCTGTAACACCACAAAGACGACCACCTGTAAAAGTCGACTAACATTGACAATGCCAAGCGAATAACATTCCTAAGTGTAGATGAAAGTGAAGAATGATTATCGCAGTAAGCGAAGCCCTGATTCTTTCAGGCTTCCTCTTTCCAATTGCTTAAATTGGAAACTTTACTCCGATGATCATTCTTCACTTTCATCTACAAACGCAGTTCGAAAATGAATTATTTCATATATACTTCACATCATTTCACTCCTCACGGGAGATATGAACTCAATAAATTGACCTCGCTCCCAAAGTGTGGCTTCATAGCTCAGTTGGTAGAGCAACGCAACTTATGAAATATTGCGAGATCATTCGCGACATTTCAGCCAAACCGGATGACTAGTATTTTTATGACGAACAATTTCGTTATCTTAGGCAGTCAGCCCCTGACCAGTACCCATTGGATTCTGTGCACTGGGAGCTATGGCTTAAGGCGGTAATAAATTTTAATACAAAATCGCAATTTAGCTCGAACAAGGTCAATTCTGGGGTTCCTACGCGATCACGGCCTCGCCAGTCCTTTCCTAAAGGGTCCTGCTAGACATTTCATGTAGGGAGATATTGCGCGGGTTGTCGATTCGACCATGTTTGTTTCAAATGTGGCACAAAGCACCCCGCAAGCCAGTGCTCCGCCACCCAACAACATCGCCTCCCTTTCTCAAAAGAAGGACCACTTGCTACGATTTCTACACAGCAGTCCGGTCACTCCCGTAAGGGTGGAGAGGCTTGATTTTCTTTTAACCGGATACCCTGATCCCAATATGTGGCTTCATAGCTCAGTTGGTAGAGCAACGCACCGGCAACGCGGAGGTCACGGGTTCGAATCCCGTTGAAGCCCTAATTCTTTCAGGCTTCTTCTTTCCAATTGCTTAAACTGGAAAATTTACTGCGATGATCATTCTTCACTTTTAATTTTTCCTTTGTTTTTAACCTCTGAGACGACCACTTGACGCATCGTCGTGATCTCTATGTTCCCTTGTACTATGCTAGTTATATTAGAGAATAAGGTTGGCTTTAAGCGACAACATGGAACTACACACAATACAACGCTTAGAAAATGCATGCGATGAATTATCTTCCTTGAATAAACGTGTCGGGACCTCTTGTCGGAAGAGACCCCCTGTGGTTCGATTCTTGTAAACGACCACCTCCCGTAAGCGACCACTAAGTCTTCGCGTTTTGGCAGTCACTTACGGGATGTTCGACTGTATTAAGATTGAAATAGATATTGAAGAGATTTGGATGGTATCAACAATAATAACCGATAATGAATACCTTTGGCTTTGAAGCCTTGTTACTCTTGTTCCTTTTTATAGATCTTGACTGATTTTGGTTCACATCCGGCATTATTCCTTGCTCAGGTGAATGGGAGCGTCCCATTTGGTTTACGTGTTTTTTGAAGACCAGCTGGTACCTCAGGGCCGTAGCCAGTTTTTTTTT